TTTGGGCTTTAGGGTTTGGGGTTTAAAGGGTTTAAAGGGTTTAGGGTTCAGTGGGTTTAGGGTTTTAGGGTTTAGTGTGGTTTAGGGTTTAGGGGGTTTCGTGTTTTAGGGTTTGGGGTTTGAAGGGTTTAGGGTTTAGGGGGTTTAGGGTTTAGGGCTTAGTGGGTTTTAGGGTTTAGGGTTTAGGTTTCAGGGTTTAGGGTTTGAAGGGTTTAAGGTTTAGGTTTTAGGATTCAGGGGGTTTAAGGTTTAGGTTTCAGGGTTTAGGGTTTAGGGTTTTAGGGTTCAGTGGCTTTAGGGGGTTTAGGCTTTAAAGTGATTGAAGGTTTAGGGGGTTTAGGGTTTAGGGGCTCTAGGGTTTAAAAGGGTATAGGGTTTCAGGGTTTAGGATTTAGAGGGTTTAGTGGGTTTAGGGTTTGGGGGTATTTATGATTGCTATTACGGCCATTATACCTTAATAGTACGAGAAGTATTGTTGTCATTATTAGTGTTATATCAGTACTATTTGTACAACTATCACAATTACAAATATCATTCCTGGGGATCCAACAACAACTACCGTTTTGAGGGTTCTACCCTCTAATCAAGGGGTCATACCCTCCTATGTTGTAGGGTTGGGGGTCACACAGGTTATGAATGTAAGTGTTGTTACTACTACTGTAACCAAACCCTTAACCCAACCCTACACCTTAAACCCTAAACCCTGAACCCTAAACCCTAAACCCTAAACCTAACCCTAAACCCTAAACCCTAAGACGGACGGAGCCATCCTCCTCACCTTCGCCATCGGCTGCACCCTCGTGTTCATCTTCGCGGGCCTCTCCTTGGGTCACCTTGCTACTGGGCCCTCGTTAAGAGACCCTAAATCCCTAAACCAAAAACCCCGAAACCCTAAACCCCTAAGCCCTAAATCCTAAACCCTAAACCCCTAAACCCCTAAGCCCTAAATCCTAAACCCTAAACCCTAAACTAAGGAACTCAGGGTTTAGGGCTTAGGGTGCTGGGTTTAGGGTTTGAGGAGCTTCGGGTTGAGGGTTTAGGGTTTACGAAATTAGTTCAAGTTGCCATAGTTCAAGGGCTCTATAAGGGTTTTGGATGACAGAGTTTAGTGGGAGTTATGGTGAGGGTTTCTCTAAGGGTTCCATACAGGTTTAGGGTTACGGAAGTTAGTTTAAGTTGCCATAAGGAAACCCTATGAGTCGCTGTAGATCCTTATGATAACTTAGGTTAGGGTTCAATTAGGGTTTAGGGTTTAGGGTTTAACTATAGATCCTTATGATGACCTAGATCAGGGTTTAATTAGGGTTTAGGGTTTAACTATAGATCCTTATGATAATTTAGATTACAGGGCTTATTTAGGGTTTAGGGCTTAACTATAGATCCTCATGATAACTTAGATTATAGGGTTCATTTAGGGTTTAGGGGTTTATTACGCTCCTCAACAAGAGCCCAGGCGATGATCGCCGACGCCACGAACAAGAAAGCGCTGATGCCATGGGTACCTAAGTGGCACTTTGGGGAACCCCAAGGGGTCCAAAGGACCCAATAATCAGGTACTTAGGTTTAGGGTTAGGGTTCGGATAGGAGTTATGTAGGTTACTATTTGGGAGAGTATATGATCATTAGGTACTTGGACCCTTGGGGGAACTTGTTCATTTCCCTGATGGTTCCTATAGAGGTACCTGTTCATATATCATATTCGTTGGCCCGAAACTACAACCCTAAACCCTAAACCCCTCAGACATCCTGCGCAAACCCCTGGATCCCTAAACCCTAAACCCGTACAGCCCAGGTACTCATGCACGGGGTGTTTGGCATGATTAGTCTGGCCGCGAGCTTCTCCCTGTGGATCTCAGTTGCAGGGCATGAGGGTGGGACGAATTGCGCCAAGTTGCAGGCCTGGGGGCCCGAAACCGAAGACCTTCTAAAGTTTTAGGGAACAGGGTTTAGGGTCTGAGCCCCAATCCCTGACAACCCCCTAAACCCTAAACCTTAAACCCTAAACCCTAACCCTGAATCCCTAAGCCCTAAATTCTTTTAAGCCCTATAAACCCTAAACCTTAAATTATGCCAAGCCCTAACCCTAAACCCTAAGCCCCAAACCCTAAACCCTAAGCTCTTTTAAGCCCTAAACTCCCGAAACCCCCAAACGCCCTGCGTTGAAGCCCCAGAGGACCCATAGTGGTTCCTTTTTGGGATTACCTAATAGGATTTTATTTAATTAAAAGCCACCAAAAGGAACCACTATGGGGCCTATGGGTAAACCCCTATACCCCCAAACGCCCTGATAGGGTAAATCCTAAACCCCTAAACCCCAAACCCTAAACCCCAAAACCCTAAAACCCCCAAACCCTAAACCCTTAAGCCTGAAACCCTAAAACCCTAAACCCTAAACCCTAAACCCTAAATTCTTTTAAGCCCTAAACCCCCTAAACCTTAAATTATTCTAAGCCCTAACCCTAAACCCTAAACCCTAAGCCCTAAATTCTAAGCTCTTTTAAACCCTAAACCCCCTAAACCCCCAAAGCGCCCTGCGTTGAAGCCCCAGAGGACTTGAGCCCAACTTTCTGCGCAGAGCAGTCTTTGGCATGGATCCCTGGCTGTTTTAGGGTTTAGGGTTTAGGGTTTAGGGTTTAATGTTCCTTTAGGAGGTTATAGGAGGAGAGATATGTTTTTAGGAATTTAGGAGGTTTATGGTTTCAGGAGTTTAGGAGGCTTATGGTTTTAGGAATTTAGGGTTTAGGGTTTTAGGAATTTAGAAGGTTTGTGGTTTTATGAATTTAGGGCTTAGGGTTTAGGGTTTAGGGTTTAGGGTTTAGGGGTTTAGGGTTTAGGGTTTAGGGGTTAGGGTTTAGGGGTTCGTGGTGTCGGGCCGTGGGGCATTGGCGGGTTTCCTGGTAGGAAGTCCTTAAGTCCCAACACACAAAACCCCTCCCAATTTAAAGCAGGCACCCTTATGGCCACCCTAAACCCTAAACCCTAAACCCTAAACCCTAAAACCCTAAAACCCCAAACCCTGAACCTCATGAGGATCTTGGCACTAAGGATAAGTCCGGCTCCTGGCGGATTTTCGGCCTCGGAATGCTGCCATCAGCTCATGTCGTCGACGATGACTACGACGGCGGCTCAGACGCATTAGCATGGAAGCGACTAGGTAGGGATCGGAATATCTAGGCCCTTGAAGGACGGGTTTAGGGGTTAGGGTTTTCGGTTTAGGGTTGGTAACCCCTAAACCCTAAACCCTAAGGGTTTAGAGTTTTGGGGAATCAGGTCACTCAGACAACTACTCGGACGCTTCCATCCAGACAAGCCTTACCATGCTTGTGCAATGCTTCCGGCGCCGAGCTGCTCTGCGAAACGGGCGCTGACCAGGTGTGCTCCATGCTGGACACCGAAGAAAGAACCGAAGCTGGGTCCTTGTTGGATACCATTTTACATTCTTGTTATGATTACTATCAACCCAATAAGGATCAAACATGATCATTTTTAATATAGCCCCAACAGAGAACCAGGAAGCCTGTTTTGCTGCTGGGACACTCTGCACCCCTGCCACATCCTGTCGGACCCGGGCAAGCCTTTCTGCAGATTGCAGTCGCTTTCTCGAGGAATCCGATTGCTCTCGCCAGGCAGCGTGCATCTGGGAAGATGCCGAGCTCACCTACGCCTATCAATGCCGGCCGGCAGAAAGCCAAGACGCCATCTCCGTGGGCTTGTGCGCTGGATACTTGTCCAAGTCGTCATGTAACGAGCAGATCATTTGCAAGTGGCAGCTTCTACCCCTTGGCGAAGAGCGATGTAGCAATGGGGGAACTTGGCGTGGCTGTATCAGCAGCATACCAGCCCTCGACCACCTCTGCAGTGAGTTCAAGACATCACCTGATTGTGCAACAGACCGTTTCTGGGTGTTTTTGTGGCGGAACTTTCTAAGAGACCATAACTACAGTTTTCTACTCTAGCTGTCTGTAACCATGTATCTATTTGGTGTGTGTGTGTGTGTGTGTGTCTGTCTGTCTGTCTGTCTGTCTGTATGTACGTACGTACGCACGTAGGTAGGTAGGTAGGTAGGTAGGTAGGTAGGTAGGTAGGTAGGTAGGTAGGTAGGTAGGTATGTATGTATGTATGTATGTATGTATATACAAACACGCACACATGGTCTCTGCATGTATACAAAGATACACTCTTTCTCTGTCTATATATATATACACATATAACTACATATGTTTTCAGATTAGGTGACTGGCAGTTCATGGTTAATAGTAGTAGTAATAAGAGCCACCATGCTACTTGTAGCAGTAATGATGCTGGTAGCGGTGGTGCTAACACAGAGGCTGGTCACAGGCCTCCGTGTCAGGGTTTAGGGTTTGCGGTTCATTAAGCCTCAACCCCAGGCCTTAGTAAGCCCTAAACCCCTAACCCTAAACCCTAAACCGTGGGGCCCAAAGGTTTTTGCCAGTGGAGTGCGACCTGCAACTGTGCCGACGACTTTTTTGGCGACCTCTGCGAGAAGCAGGTGGGGTTTAGGGTTTAGGGTTTAGGGTTTAGGGTGTGGCAGTTGTCCAAAATACGAAGGGTCCATCGGGTTTTTTATCGGAATGAGACAGGTTTTGCATTAGTTGATGCGTTTCTTGTTGCAGTTGTTCAAAACATCCCTCCCCAAACAACCGCAATAGGTGTGTTCCCAATGGTCCTTCCGCTACTTAAAAACCCTTTACAGCCAACTTACAATTCCAAATAAGATGCTTGAAGCCTGAACCCTTGTTGTACACTACCCATAGGCCCCATAGTGTTCCTTTTCGTGGCTTATATTCAGGATCCTATTAGGGAATCCCAAAAAGGAACTACTATGGGGCCTATGGGTATAGCCCCTTGCAGAACCAATTGAAAACTAGATGACTTGTCGAAGGTCGCTCCTTTCAGAAGCGGCAGTGGCTGCACCGGGCCTATCAGACCAGGTGGGGGTTGTGACCAGCCCCTAAACCAGAGAACCTGCAAAGCCTGAACCGCGAAAGGAAACCTCAAGGAAAACTTACGACTCCACACAGCTGTGCCGAATCTTAGGACTACACAGGGCGGAAGGGTTTGATATTAGGAGGTTGGTGCGTGTGTAAAGGGCTCCTTTCGATGACAGTAACAACCCTACTTCACTTAGCTGAATGCAAAGTAGGATTCAGGGCACACCGTCTCAGAAGACTTTCGAACCCTAGACTAGACGGGTGTCACGAGTATAACTTGGACCGATAGCGGGAATGTAGGGGTCGAAGACTGTCCAATGGTGTTCCGTTAGGGATCATATTTAATTAGAGTTAGGTATGCAAAATCTTGATTTTGTCCATTATGATGGCCCTTGCATTATGCAGGGCAGAGCAGTTGCCCAGCGCCGAACCACTTTTTGCCAATGGTTCAGGGTTTAGAATTCCATATTGGGCTTCGTAAAGTATGTTACAGCTCCCAAACCCAGAACCCTACAACCCTCAAGCCCTAGAGGCCTATCCCGTAGAAGAACCTGCTGTAGGAACCCTTACAGGAACCCATGCAGGAACCCCTAAACCTCTAAGTTACGTTCACCTTATATGGGTAGTTCTCTAAATTAGGGTCCCTTTTGGGATCCCCAATATAGTACGGCACCCTTATAAAGAGGCACCCCAAAAGGGAGCCTAATTTAAATAACGACCCATATAACCCCCTAAAGGCCCGAACAAAACTTGTGGAAATCCTTGGTCTTCCCCGCTCGGGTCTCTTTAGTCGGCTATTCAAGGGATAGTCGTGGGGTTTAGGGTCGAGGGATTAGAGTCTTCACCGGATGGTTTCGAGGTTTACGGTTTTTCGAGGATATGGTTTAGTTGTTTTTTTTTGTATTTTTCGGCTTCTGCTTTTTTCAACGTTCTGCATCACCATGTCGATCCTCACCTGGCTTTGACCGCGAGCTGAACTTATCCCAAGCAGATCCTTCTCCTTAGGGTTTAGGGCTTGGGTTTTCGGATGTAGGGCCTACATAAGGTTTAGGGTTCAGGGTTTAGCGCATTATCAGGTGATAAGTGCCGGGCAATCGTCTACGCGGCTTCTGCGAACCTTGGACTTTTTCGTGCGGACAGCTTCGCCCTGAAGATCATAAAGCCCAGGGTTTAGTGCTTGGGGTTTAGAGTTTAAGGGCACCCAAAACCCTAAACCCTAAACCTTATAGGCCCCAACATCACTACATTCTGAACCAGTGCCTTGATCCCAGAGCCTAAAACCGTTCAACATTTTTTGTTGTCAAAACCCATAATGGCACCTTCTCAGCTCTACTTATGGCTCTCTTGAGACTGAGAGGGACCTTATTGAGAGGGTCTCTCTCTCGCTCTCTCTCTCTCTCTCTATGTATATATATATATATATATATCCTTGCAGAAACTAGTGTAGAACCATTACCCACGCATCCAAAGGACACATTCATCAAGTACGTGGACCAATAGAGATATGCAGCCCTGAAAAGTCCTTTTACAACGCCACAAAGCCTTCCTGCAACCCGTATACAACACGATGACACCGTCGAAGAAGCCTTAAACCGGACCCTTATGGTGCGCTGAGACCCTATATAGGAAAATTCCTTTATTGAGGGGTTTCGAAGTCTGAAAGGGCCTGGACCTCGAAGCGTGAACCCCGCAAGCATTTATAGATCCTCATATCATGGAGCCCTTCCGGATCCCCAAAAGTGGTGTGCGTAGACAGAGACCATAAACCCTAAACCCTATTCGCAGGTTCTGCTACGGGTCCTATAGAGTGATCTGCCGTGTTCCTTTTGAAGGTTTCTTGTAAGGGATCCGCAGGGTTCTACAGGTTTCAGGGTTTGGGGTTCCATAAGAGATCTGCAGGGTTCTACAGGGTTCCTTTTGGGGGTTCTCTTCAGGGTTCCTTAGTTCTCCAATACCCAACCTTCAAACTTTGTGGGTTCTTATAACTTAGTAGTAATCTGAAAGTTCAACCTTTTATTTCCCCCTAAACCCTGAACCCTAAACTCTAAACCGTGGCTTATTGGGGAAGTAAGGTTCCAAAAGGGATCTACCGTGATCATCCTGAGGGTTCTGCAAGGTTCTAGAAGGTATTTTTGGGTCAGGTTTTAGGGCGGTTTAGGGTTTAGGGTTTAGGGTTTAGGGTTTAGGGCTTAGGGTTTCGAGGGTTCATTTTGGGTCAGGCTTTGGGGAGAGGGATTAGGGTTTAGGGTTTTCGTAAGGTCTCAAGGGCGTTAGAAGGGTTGTGGTAATTGGGTGAAAAGTTGAGGGTTTGGGGTTTAGGGTTTGGGGTTGAGGGTTTCATCAAGACACTGATTGCCTTGGTTTAGGGTGGGTTTAGGGTTTAGGGAGGGTTTTTGAATGGGTTCTGAAAGGGATCTACGGGGTTTCTTGTGAGGGTTCAAGGGGTTTAGAAGGCATCTACGGCGTTCCTTTTCAGGGTTCTTTTAAGGAATCTAACACCCTCAACCCCAAAACCTAAATAGGATTCCTTTTGAGGGTTCGATCAACCGAAGGGTCCATGTACCCAAATAATAGATACTTTGGCTTTAAAGCCTTCCCTATAAAGTACATTCGGGCCAAAGTATGTATTCTTGGGGTACATGGGCCCTTGGGCTAAGAAGCGGTCTACAGGTAGCCTTCTGATGGTTCTTTTGAAGGATCTAAAACCCTAAGCTCTTGAACCCTAAATAGGATTCCTCTTGAGGGTTCTTTCAGGCGATTCAAACCGCTTATCCCGAAACACTGAATAGGGTTCCTTTTAGGGCTCCTATTGGGGGGGGTTCTTAAACTCTAAGCCCTAAGCCGTGGTATATAAACTCTAAACGGTCAACAGGGTTCCATTTGTTGAGTGTTCCTAAGGATTCTCTAGGCATAGTATAACATGCCTCCGGACCCTATTCTAATAAACTGTTCAAGCCCATATATCATGCACCCCTATGGCAATTCTAGTAGATTAAGGCTTGAAAACCTTAAACCCTGAGCTCCTAAACCCTAAACCCTAAACCCTCAACCCTCAACCCTAAACCCTAAACTCAAGACAAAACTAAACCCTCAACCCTGAATTCTAATCCCTAAAACCCTGAACCCTCAACCCTAAACCCTCAACCCTAAACCCTCAACCCTAAACCCCTAAACCCTGAACCCGACCTCTGCACAGCCAAAGGAGCGATCAGTTTCGTTGCGCGTCGACTGGCCTGGATGTTGCCTGCAGCGATTGGCTCCGCTTAAAGGAGACGGCTGAGGTGCCAGGGTGCCTCTGAACCCTACCTTAAGAACCCAAAACCTACTTTTTTGTAGGGCCCCTATAAATCCCATATCAGGGTTTATAATAAGAGCCTACAAAAAAGTGGGTTTGGGGTTCTTAAGGTAAGCACTAAACCCCCAAAAGCCTAAACCCCTAAACCCTAAACCCCCAAAAGCCTTAACCCCTAAACCCTAAAATCCCCCAAGCCCTAAACCCCTAAACCCCTAAAACCATAAGGGTCTAGGTTTAGGGTTTTTAGGGTTTGGGGGCTTCGGGTCAAAAGTTTTAGGGATTTGGTTTACTCTACAGGGGTCCGGGGTTGTTAGTGTCCTAGGGTTTAGGGTTTTAGTTTTTAGGGTTTAGGGTTTGACATGGAGTTTATAGGGTCTCAACCCGCATATGCTACGGTCGAGATGTCGGCCCTGGTTTGGGTTTAGGGTTTAGGGTCTTAGACGGTACCTTGAGTCGTAGCCGTGGGTGTTTAGATGGATTTAGGCTACGCTGCAGGTTAGTCGGGGTTGTGGTCTGAGTAGGGTTTCTGGTTGGCGTGGGGGCTTGCAGCGAACTTCGGAAGATGAAACATAGATTCAGGACCAGGGTTCCTTATGCTTCAGGCTTACGAACATATACCCATAAGACCCATGGTAGTTCCTTTCTAGGTTTACCTAATAGGATTCTAAATAAAAGCCACAAAAAGGAACTACTATGGGGCCTAGGGGTAAGGTGTAGAGCTATAGGATTTGAAGCGGCCTTTACTGGGTGAATGGGGTGTGGGTTCAAGTGCAGGCAAGGGTGATGAGCTTTGGGCTTTGTCCCTAAACCCTAAACCTTAAACCCTAAACCCTAAACCCTAAAACCCTAAACCTACAGTAGCCCCAAATAACCTATCTTGTGAAGGACTTGTGTAGCATGCAGGTCAGCTGGACCTAGCCTTGGACCTAAATAAAATCATAAACTGCACTCAAACCTAAAATCCTTCACCTTAAACCCAAGCCCATATAGTCTCTGGGCATCAGGTGATGTATGAAGCCGAGCTTGGTGGAACCATCGTCGACTTTTTGGCCTTTTTCCTTGGCCTGGCGATCAGCTTCAGCATCCACAAAATGTCCAACTTCTACGGCTCCCTTTATAAGGACTTAGAAGTGCTTTCCATAGGAGTTTTGTAGGGGCTACCACATGTTTACGCTGTGTCCTTTGGTTGTTCCATGCCTTAATAGCGAGTGATATATGGTGCTTGTATGATTCATGGTGTATAGGACTCAACCCCCAAACCCTAAACCCTAAACCCTAACCTAACCCTAAACATACCAGGGTTCTATGAAGATGTATACGGTTTTCACCTGTGTCCTTTGAGGATCTTCGTGAGGGGTTTTACAAGATGAAAAAGTTCGGCCCCTGTGGTGTCTTTGATGCGGCTTTTGGCTTTGAGGCTGTGTCAGGCCCTTTGCCATAGACAGCGCCTGAACCCCAAACCCTAAACATTACATTAACTTCTAAAACCCGAAGCCCTAGACCTTACATTAAACCCTAAGCCCTAAACCTTACATTAACCCTAAACCCTAAACCTTACATCAAACCCTACACCCTAAACCTTACAATAAATCCTAAATCCTAAACCCTAAACCCTGTTCGCCACACAAAAGATTTAGGTCGGTTTGTGATGTTTCGCTCTCTCTTTCCCTCTCTCCAAAGCTCTGGTTTTAAACTGGCATCCCAAAACCCCAAAGCCTGCAAATAGTAGGTCATGACTCATCGTGTTTAGGGTTTAGGGGTTTAGGATTTACGGTTCAAAGCTTCGGGTTTTGGATGTGGGGTTTAGGGTTACGGGTTGTGTTAAGCAGCACACGGTTACAACCCTGATGGCAGTAGGTTACTGGATCCCTAGGTAGCTTGTCTGTGAAGCATGCTTCCAGCATATTGATTGAAGCCCTGCCCTAAACCCTAAACCTAAACCCTGAACCCTAAACCCTAAACCCTAAACCCTAAACCCTAACCCTAAACCTTACGGCCTGAAGCCTTGAAAACACTCAACCCTAAACCCTATAAGCCCTACTCCCTAAACAGGCTTACAACCTTGTACTGTAGGGGCCTAATTTATTCCCTATACTATTTTGGTGGTTCCTTGTTATGTTTATAGCATAATGGCTCCCAACACCCTATTAGAATTATTAAGGCCCCTATATTAAACCCTAAACCCTATAAAGCTTAAACCGTACCTGTAGCCGAAAAGACCTACCCTTTTCGGGTTCCTTGTTATGGATTCTATTTAAAGTTCCTTGTGAAGGTAGGTCTTTTGGGCCACAGGTAAACCCTATAAGCACAGTAAACCCTGAACCCTAGACCCTAAAACCCCAAACCCTAAATCTTAAATCCTATAAGGCCCTGTAAACCCTAAACCCTAAATCTTAAATCCTATAAGGCCCTGGAAACCCTAAACCCTAAACCCTAAACCCTAAAACCCTAAACCCTAGACCCTAAACCCTAAAACCCTGAGCCCTCGGCCCTAAAGCCCTAAAGCCCTAAACCCTAAACCTCCAGGTTATCGTCGCTTTGCGCTTTTTGCTCTTGTCGTGAGCTTTCTGGCCGACCTTACGCTGGAAGCGATTCTGTCATCCTCCGTGTCCCTTGGGGAGCAAAAGGGGTTCCCTTAAGGGTTAAGGGTTTAGGGTTTCGGTTTAGGGATCTATAGGGTTCCCGTAAGGGTTTAGGGTTTAGGGATCTATAGGGTTCCTTTAAGGCTTCTTTGAAGGTTCCCTGAAATGGTACTAGAGTCACTAGAGGGTTCTATAAGGGTACGACAAGGGACCTGTATGGGTCCTGTAGGCTAGGGTTCCATGAGGGTCTTGCACGGGTACTATACCCGTCTCAGAAGGGTTCTACAAGGCTTCGACATTTACGCGCTTGTTTGTTCAGCTCACTAAAGATATACGAGGTTACCGCAATCTAGTGCCATTGCAGTACATCGGGCTTCTACTGTCCGGCAGAGGAGAAGTAGCGCGCATCATCTAGAAGGAAAAAATAATGACCAGCATCACTTCTTCGGGCTCTTTGTTAGAGATCGTAGCAGACTCAACCCCAAGCTTGATTCTAACCATTAAGGCTCCTTGAAAGCATAGCATGCTCAACCCCAAACCCTATTCCAATCATTTATGTTCCTAGAAATCATAGTATACTCAATCAACCCAAAACCCTAAGCATTAAGGTCCCCAGATTAGAGCTTAGATCCCCGATCCTCAACCCGGCTGCTCTGGCCTGCCGTGCGGGTTCACCAGGAGGCAGCTGCAAAGGCCTGTAGGCCGACTGGAAAATGGCCTCCGGGAGCCCGCCGGGCTCCCTTTGGAGGGAGGAAGCCTGGACCCAAAGGGCTTACTATAGGGGCCTAAATAATTACCCATGCTATTTCGGGGGGTGCCTTATTATAATTATAGTATGATGGGCCCCCAAACCCTATTCTAATTATTAAGGCCCTTATCTGAGTGTCTATGGGGGGTTTACTGTAGGGGTTTATCTAGGGGTTTAGGGTTCGAGGGCATACTGCACCTTTCCGGCCAGAACTTCACAGCCCCGATGCAAAAAGGGAGAGAGAGCAATTTAGGGATTTAATGTAGGGGCCTGAGTAATTAGAATAGGGGTTGGGGGTATATCAAACTATAATTCTAACAAGGAACCCCCAAAACCCTGTTCTAATTATTGAGACCCCTACATTAGGAATCTAGGGTTGATTGTTACCGTGAACAGGGGTCACACGACTTGACGTTTTCTCCGCCACTTCTGGCACATCAGGAGTCCAGCTTCAACAGGGTGACAGTGAAGCCCAGACCCAGACCCTCAAGATCCCTTGACGCTTTCACCCCAACAGTTTGTAGCTTCATAGGGTCCAGAAGACCCATTCCCAGGCACAGCTACCGAGCATAGCGGACTGTTCGCAAGACTGGGATGGCAAGAGCCAGCCGATCCGACGTTTTGGTTGACAAGCTGAAGGGTAGCGAAGGGTTTAGGGTTGATACGTCGCACATGCATGAAGGCCTAGTACTCTTTATTGAAACCCTTCAATTGCAGTTTCTGCGGCGCTGGTGTCACGCCATCCCAGATTTCTGGGAGGAGGTCGTTAGCCTCCATCTCGAGGGTGCCTCCGGCTGGGATCCGATCCGGAACATACCAGAAATGGAAGAGGCTTTGTTGGGAGTTTAAGCTTTGAGGGTTTTAGGGGAGTTGCTGAAACGGGGGAGTTTATGCCTTGAGGGTTTAAGGTTTTGGGGGAGTACTTCGTTTGGGAGTTTAAGCGTTTAGGGTTTTTGGTGTAGGTCGGAAGTTGCAAAGGATCGCCAGTTTGGGGTAGGGGTAATCATAAGGAACAACGACGTTGGTCTTGATGCTTAGCTGTTGACCTCATTCCATTTCTACACTTGGCGTATCTGCGCAGCTGCTCCGAACAGTTTGAATTTTCGCAGCTGAGATTTTAATTGCAGAGCCATGACTGACTCAACCATTTCATGTTGCGCAACGTGGCTCGGGCACTGCCATATTCCTTGCCTTGTGCTCTGTTCACGTTTCATGTACGTGTTTGTGGAGGGGGAGTTTGAATGATGGCCCCGCCTGCCAGCCCTGGCATTTCTGCAAGATCCGGTCGTGCTGACTGAATCGCATTTGTGCGGCTGGTTGGGTACTTAAGTGTGGTTTCGCACATGCAGCCCGCGTGCGATGAGCACTAGCTTACAAAAGGCTTTAATGGAGTTAGATGCCTAGGTTGCCTGTCCAGGTGAACGACTGTCCTCGAATGGAAGGCTTGAGCCAAGTTGAGGAGAACATTGTCACGGAACAACTACTACCAATCACTGGGGTCTGTTGCCAGCATTACATCATAATTCCGATTCCTGAAGTCCAACCAAAGGCACAGGAGGCACGGAATATGTGTTGAGTGGCACGCTCCACCTACACTGTTCCTCCGAGGTGAGTACTGCCATAAGCATGGGACAGGAGGCTCAACAGGGTCGCCTGTCCATGGGCTCCCTCCTTTACGATCCCACTGCATGCGCCCTGCGAAATTTGAGAGCAGGGTGCCTTGGTGGTGAGAGCTCTTTGTTGGCACTGCTCCAAACAGTGCTGAGGGTTGTGTGCACTACGTGTATATAGCACGGGAGCCGGCGAACATCTTCTTTGCCGTGGGGTCGCAATCTGACCCTGCTATGCCCTGGGTGATGGAGGCAAGCAGTTTGTTCAGCAGCAGAGCACACTGTGCGTTGAACCTTGCTTGCTGAAATCTCGACGTTGAGAGCGTAAGGGCCGTAAGGGGTTTGTGTACTGTCATGACCATCAGCACAGCCATAGTGTCGATTCCAGGAAAGATATGTGTAGTTCTCTAAATTAGGGTAACCTGCTCTTGCGATTGGGGTCGTGCACGAGGGGCCTAATTAATTATTTCTTAGGGTGTAGGGGAATTACCAAAACACAGTAGTATGGTTTTTTAAATGGCGCTGATCGCAATACGTCATAGTATAGTAAACCCCCAAAGCTTCATTCCAATTATTAATGCTTCTATGCTACTTCAGCAGCTTGCAGGATGTTTGCCAGAGAGCCTGCATGCGGGTTTCCTTTGCCCTGCCGTTTTCGGTACTGCAGTTTCGGGCGCAATGTAGCCTGAATGGATCTTTGGTTGCTAGCTGAAGTGCGTACTTCTGACACTTGCAACATCAATGCTGAACGACGAACGGATACTCGCTGGCTCCCCGTCCGCATGAGTCTGCCGTCATTTTGAAGCAGTCGGCTGCACCAGATGCTATGCTTTGGAGTTCGGACGGCTCGAAAGTTATGGGCCGAGACGTCGTACTTAGGTCAAAGTTTTTGTCCCGTTATTTATCAGGATTGCCGGAAACTCCGAGCCAACATGCGCAGAACGAGCTGAGATGCAGCCTAGAAGTGGCAAGCATGGATCATCAGAGTTCGTCCTTGCACATGTGGTTACGGCAAGTCGAGTAGTTCTATGGGTGACAAGCCAATGAAGACCCACACTCATGCCCTTTTGATTGAACATGCTTCCTGCTTCCAGTGAACTCGCCCGATATATTGGAGCCATGCTCGTTCGCCGACCACAGCAAGGACCCACCTTGAGACCCGTGCTTGCTCACAGGAGCTTCCTTTGAGGGAACGGCCAATGGGTCCATCACTCGAGCGGAAGTCAGCAGTTCGTCATGCAGCGTACCCGGTGAATTCAAGACACAAGAAAACAAGCCACACCGGGCGTCCTTGGACAGGGCTCAGGTATGGAACCTTATGAAAAGCACAACATCTTCTATGCCCCCCGAAACCGTTCAAGCTGTTCAAGGTTGCAACATTCTCTTGTCACTTCTGAACGTTTTGTGTTTTCGCGAACTTGCAGACGAATATTCCTGTAGAAAGTCTCGTGTCGCGCTAATTTTCCAGGACCCTGTCAATCCTTTTTTTTCTCTCGCTCTCCCTCTCTTCCTCTCTCTCGTGTATGCTCTTGAGAGTTTCAAGGTCACCATTCCATGAAGTATTGGGCACTTGGTTCTCAACCTACGCTCACAGATATCAACGCAAAGCTCGAGGAAACAAAGCCCACAAAATAAAGCAATACATGCAGATACCAACCGCCAGTCAGATATGAGTTTGTGTGTATATATGTCTGGTGCATTTTATTTATGTATGTTTGTGCTACCCTATGCCAGACCATTATTCGACTCCGCAGTGTGCATACTTTTTTTTCTCCATATCCGGTATGATGCATATATTTCAATGGCGGAAGCCTGCCTGCATGCAGTGCAATGCAGTATACTGCAGTGTGACTTGGTACCGCTAACACAACGTGTGAAGAACCTGCTAGGTCCTT